AGTTTTATGTCTAATTAGCAATGAGGAAGAAGTGAAAAAATTATCTAAAAATGACAAAATGACCAATGCGGTTTTATTTAATCTGCTCTGAATATATTCTTGGAATGTGATTAAAATCACATAACCAAATATTGGAATCCAAAACTTAGGTCATAGCTCTTCAAGTGTGAAAGAACAAAGATGAATGACAACAATAAGCAGAACTACTAAACAGCAAGTGTAAAAGCTACAGTACTAATAACCCTCAAGTATAGGCCATGATGAAAACACAGACAGACTCCAACAAAATTGTTTACAGAGATTCTGGGAAGAAAGGAGTACCAAAAGTTATTATGAAAAACTTGTTAAATTTTAAGTTAATACTAACCTCTTGAAGTGGAATAAGTGCCAGCCATGATCCCCTACATATTATATTGCTAAATGAAGCCATCAAAATATAAAATACAACAAAGGACTGAATAGAACTTTGGGAATTTATTACAATATTTTCTAACTTGTGTGCAAATTACATACCCACTTTCTGCAATTACTTCCTATTTGAAATATGTTAATAGAACTCATGACATTGTGGGGGCAGGGAGCATTAGCCTCTGCAGCAATACCGAAATACATTGTCTGCAGAGAATTAGCAATAATTTAAACAACTACAGGTCATTCTGCTTTTTATCATCACCTTGTACGAGAATTTTAAACAATGTCAGTAATGAACAATGAAATGTTCCTTGAAAAAAATCTATTGTTGGTTTAAGTTACAATCTTATGGTTAAGTTTTAATTATACCTAAATACATACACACACATGCACATACACATATATACTTCAAAATCACAGGTATTTATTACTTCCCATTTAATAAGCATTGTATTTTACATGGAATCTAATTTGGAGAAATCCACAACTCTCTCTTCTAACACATGTGGACCTATTTGAACATACTGGTTCCTAGAGTAAGTTCATAATGCTTTAAAATTATTCCAGCTTGCCTTTTGACAAAATTTTTGTCTCCAACCCTTACCATATGCTCTTGCATTAAGTTGTAGATTTGAAATAAACAATGATAGTATAGCAATTATGACTATGAAGAAGAAACAGAACTTAAATTATTTCAATATTTAATTTTTTTGTCACTACTTTTGTGTTTAAATGAGAAACAGTGTTAACTACAGGATGGAGTATTTATATTTCGTTAGTAAAAATTTAATTCCTGGGCAGGGGTTAAAGACAGTGCTATCAAGCGATGGCCAGCCACTGCAGCATGGGTTTGATCCCTGGACAGGGAGGTGACCCACATGGCACAGCAGACCTCTCCTCGCCCCCCTGCTCCCCTCAGCAGTGTGCTTCAGGAGATCTGCCTGTTCTGTTCCCTGCTCCCCATAATGTATCCTTTCACCCCCTGCACCTCTAGCTTATATCCCAGTGCTTGTGTGCATAAATAAATGAATCTTTAAAAAAATTTAATTCCTACATGATATAGTTTTGTGAATTTAAATAATATCTTTAAAATAGAATTTTATTTTTCTTTTAGTTGGTAATTATTTTAAAACTACAGAAAAATGAAAAAAATCAAGCACTGTATTAGTGGCTTGATTCAGAAGTCAACTACGTTTTAACTTCTGTGGAAGTTTCAGCTTAATTAAATCACTTCTTGTATGGCTTGATTATATAATCAAAGTTTAATAAAATTATACATTAGTTATATTTCTTTTCTGTCTATTATTTATTTCATTTCATATTTTTACTAAATCTGTCATGTGGAGCAGGAGAGTGAAAGTGACTGTCCTAGCTGTTAAATACACTAGGTATGTATTTTAGATAAATATGAGAGACTTGTATAGGTTTTGTAATTTTCTTGTTATGTTACCATAATTTTATATGTTCTTAAAAGAAATATCCAAGTTCAAACTACTGGACCACAGGTATATTTATCATATTGATTCATCAAATAAGTATTTCTGGTTCCAAGTTAGTTATTTCTTTATATTGATTATGGCTCCTCATGGTTCAAGCAAGACAGATAACTGACTGTTGAAAGGAGCATTTAATCTATGGTAGGATAATAAACTTGAGAACTCAGCCTGGATATTCTCTTCTTCTTGTGACCACATCTCACTTGGGCTGGGAGAATTGGGAAAGATGTCAGAGTTGTACTTGTGAACAAATAGAGTAAGTTTATAATCTTTTAAACTTACAAGTTATAGGTCCAGATAAAGACAGAAAAATATCCCAAATATCCCTACTGTGTAACCGGCAGTGTCATTTCTCTTCTCTGTCTTCCCCAGGTGGGAGAAATGCCCCCTAAGCTGGGGTGGGATTCAGGAGACAGTTTGGAAATGGAAAATGCTGTGGTGTGTTTCTAAGTGTGAGAAGGCTGATGTGACTTCTGGAGAAAATAGTGTATTAGAAAAGCTTTATTCAGTTATAAATTATAGTGCTGCTGGTTATGCATTCAATGCTAATTCTGTCTTTGAAAGGATTAAAGGTAAATGACATGAGCTAGCTTTGTAATTGTGAAACTTCCATAAATGAAGATCCCTAGGATTGAAGGCGTGGAGTCTATCAGAGGCTATACGGCAGCAGCAGAGAACAAAATAGCTATTTTCCTATCACAGTGTTAACCTGTGTTAAATTCAAAAGAGATTTAGATTGAAGCTTGCTGTTTCTTGAGGAAGTATGGTCAATATTAACTGAATTTAACACCCAGTTTCAGGTAAATCAAACTTTAAACTGTCTTCCACTTGTGTCAATAAAAAATGTACTAGCCCTGAAGACTTGCTTGAAAACCAATCCATCCTCTTAATTACAAGCATTAAAAATAAGAGCATTCTTTACTCCACAGCTTGCATTTATCAACCATACTGAGCATGAATGGCTATGTTTGTTTGAGCAACTTTGCAGTGAGCCAATTTTAATGCCCTTGTCTCTGACTTGAGATGTAGTGTCGGTATGCCCCCTCACTTTCATTTGACTGGAAATTGACAATATGCCAGAATTGTAAGCATTTGCCATTTTATTTGTATCTACTAGCCATATTTTATTTATTGAGAAATTTTTTTCTTTGTAAAAAATGCTTCTTGCTTCTTTTTTTTTTTTTTTTACTTGTGACTTGTTTTTATTTTTGGAGGGCATCTGCTACTTCGTTTAAATCTGGAAATAATATCAAAAGTTAGTTGTCAAAATTTGTTAGAAGCCCTCATTCTCCCTTCTGCTTTTCTCTCTTCCTCTACACTTTTGAAGCTGGATAAGCACTGAAACAGAATCTTCAAGCATAAGATTCTGAGACATTTACCTAAATTTTCATGTACGGAAGTACATTTCCTACGAAGTGAGTGAAGCTTAAACTTCAGGGCCTGTGATATAGAGGGACCATTTCCAAGGTAATGAAAAGTCCCTAGACAATGTCTGCAACTCTACCTGGCCCTATGTATTTTTGAAACTTATAATTTCAATTTGTGAAATCTATAATTTCACATTCTTTCTCTTAAAAGTTCTCTGTCCCTTTCACCTCCCTGACATACACATGGTCTAACAAGTCCCACAAAGGCTGAGTCCATCTCAGCACTGTGATTACATGGCAGGGCCCTAGGCCTGCTTTGTTCCTTCTGTACCACTGGCTTGTTCCTGTGCCTGTTCCTTCCTAGCACAGGAAGTAGAGGCTGGTCATGCATTCTGTTTCCGTGCCTCATTTTTCAAGAACTGGCTTAGGCTGACAAAGCTATCAGGCTCAGGTAGTATCCTGTAATAGCTGTTAATAGTTTTTAGTTTCCTCTGTGTACCATTCAGGGTTAATAGAAGATGTGTGTACATATGTATGTATGCAAGTATATATGCATGTATGTATGTGAGCATGTATTATAAGGAATTGGGTCATACTACTATAGAGGCTGATTAGCACAAAATCTGCAGAGCTGATGTCGCATTTTAAAGGGCATCAGGCAAGAGAATTCTGCTTACTTGGGGAGGGTCAGATATTTTGTTCTACACAGACTTGAACTGGGTGAGGCTTGATAGCACTGAGACTTAAACTCTGCTCAACCAGGGAGACCCTGTTTCTATAATTTAGAATGTATTTTGATTACTAGAAATCGGTTTTAGATCCCCTAGAAGGCTTAATTTCCAAAATAACAACAAGAACACTTTTTTAATCTACATCAGTGTAGCAACCGGGGTGATTTTGTCTCCCAGGGATACTTGAAAGTTTGGAGGCATCTCTGTTTATTACAGATGAAAGAACACTACTCACACATCACAGATAGAGACACTGGATGGTAAATAGCCTCCAATGCCCTGGGGAATGCTCTACAAAACAGAATTTCTGACCCCAAATGACAATAGATCCCAGGTTGAGAAACCCTGGTCTACACAGATCTCTCCAGTCTCATCTGGCATTCGGTGTTGGTTGCCTCTTTATTTTTGAACACATCTTTATTTTAAAACGTGAAAGTCAACCTAAGTGATCTCAGCAGAATAACATGCATGCAAGTATTTGGGCTGATTTTGAATTATAAATGCTGCTCTTCATGCAAATACTCTTAAAGTAATGAAATCAAATCATTCCACAATTTGCCAGCAATGTGAACAGAGACAATTTTTTCCCCAGGAGGAAACGACTGATTTAAGAATTCCGAGTCCTGACAATTGTAGTCATGCCTAGCATATTGAAAGGCCATCTGGGGCTTCACACTTTGCCTCCATTGACCTTTACCTTGGGATTGTTGATGATTTTCATCTGATACTCAGTAAAAAAAATGATCATCCTGATTCTTTGAAAAGCAGAGGCCAGTTTACATAAATTCCAGCACCTGCTCCAGTGTAAACGATAACACCACCCACAAGTCACGTCCTTACGGGATTCAAGGAGAGCCTGGCTGTTTTGTTCTTTTACAGCCTCCTCCTAGATGGCAAGTCAGTTGGTGGGGGCTGAGGGGCCATCTTCAGGTTTGGGGTGAATTTATTCCCTGACTGATTCCTTTCACTCTGGCAATGATCTCCATTTTCTCCAGGTCCACCTGGGCTGCTGCACAGAGAGACGTTTACAGACATAAGTGGAAGAGTGAGATTTTCATCTTCAAGCATTTGCTATAAAAGAACACTTACAAAACTAAAAAAGTGAGCTTCTTACAATTAAAGAGAAGGGATGTTTGAAACAACGCACTGAAAACTATTTGTTTAACTTCAAGCTTGACCTTGTTTGACATCAAGTTGTATCCTCTTATCTGCCTCATGGTGAGAATTTTTCATCAGTGCCTGCAAAATATTTTGACTACAGTGAAAGCTGATCTATCTTGTTTTGCTCAAATGGATTGAGAAACAAAATCATGTGAAAATCCTGGGGTTAGAAAAGAAGTCCAGGGCCTCCCTGGTGGCGCAGTGGGCTGAGTGCAGTGCTGTGAAGCTGTGCGCAGCCTCTGCAGTGCGGTTTGATTCCCGGCCAGCCAGGGAGCAACCCACATGGCGAGGCAGACCTCTCCTGTCTCACCTGCTGCTCCCCTCAGCCATACTTTTGGTCCGTCTGCCTGTTCTTCTCCCTGCTTGGTCTATGGTGAATCCTTTCACCCTCCCCTGCCTCTGACCTGTACCCCAGCTCTTGTATAAATACATAAATCTTTAAAAAAAAAAAAAGAAGCCCAAATGGGTTAGGGTTTGTTTTTAATTCATGTATTCTGTTGATACAGGTCACTGCTTATAAATTGGAAATGCTGCATTTGATTCCAAAAGGTAGTTTTAACATGTGTGTGGATTATAGATCTGTTCCTGATTGTTTACAGTGTGTGTTGGAGTCTCAGTTCTAGGGAAATTAAAAAACAGGGTTACTCCTGGCCTTAGGAGAAGGTGCGGTATGTACAGGAAGACTTGTACGCCTTTTCAAACTGGGCCAGAGTGTAACATGACCTCGTTGCTGTTGATGGACTTGGTACCGCAAAGGAATGAATGTCTAGAGATCATCATTGGGTCCTTTGATAAAAAGAGTTGATCTAGAAGAAAGAAATCCCAGTCAACCTGAGGAATCAGGTAATCAGAGAAACCAGAGAAGAAATGGGACTCTTAGCAGCTGGCAGACAAGGCAGAGTCCGCTGGGGGAATAAAGCAACCATTTTCCAGGTCATCCAACAGGGAAAAGTAGAGAGTGACCTGGAACAACGGGGCCCAGCACTCTGTCCATTATATAATTCACTCTCTGTCACTTGGGGGAAGAGTTCCACAGTTTTAGGTTCCATGTTCCTTCCTGCTGCTTGACTGCTAGCCATTTTGCACTTGACACCTTCAGAAGGATGTCAGTTTTCCTAAAGAGATGTTAGAACACTCTACCCCTGCAACAACAGTTAAAAAGCAAGGGAGATCATTGCATTATTCCCATTATGACATTAAAAAAATGCTTTGCATTTTCATCATCTCCTTACTTTACTGAAGACCAGAGGCATTCTCAAATTTTTGTTCAATAATCAAACCATTTACTGATATAGCTCAGCTGATCTGAAGTCAATATTGACTTTTCCCTTCCTTGGACCAAACAGATTCTGGGGAAGTGCTTAGCCTGGAGACTTCATGTTGTTGCTACATTCTCACATCTATTAGTAACAGAAATTTTGGTCAATGCTTAGACCTGGAGGGTCCTTGAAGGAGATGACTGTTTTACATTTGCAGAAATCCTGACAAAGAAAGTCACAAGGATGTAAATAAATGAGTCAAGATTGCGCTTGCTGTGTTTAAAATATGTTCAAAGGCTCAATCTCATGTTAAGTGTTTTTATCACACACAGAAGGACACAAGGATATCTTTGGAGATGATGCATGTGTCTTCCACCTGGATTGTGGTGATGGTATTGTTACAGAGCAACCCTGATATAAAATGGGTTGCCTGACTGTGGGTTCTCACCCATGCACTTAAAGGGGACTTATTAATGCTAAACTGCAGACACACACAAAAGGTTGATAAAAGGTTTATTTGCAAGAGAAGGGAAAATGGGGAAATGAATAGCTCAGGGAGAAAAAGAGGGAGATAAGTTCATAAATGCTTCCTACCTGTTCCACTGACCTGGAATCCCAATGACCTGCCGAGCTGGCAAAAAACTGAGCACGCCTGGTGGCCAAGAGAGCGACCCCCAGCTGCATGGCCGATTAAAGACTCGAACAGAGAACATAGTTGCTTAACTCTGCCCTCAGGTCCTCGCAACCTTCCCTTTGGTGATCATGGGATTTGTAGTTCCCAGTGTCTTGATGGAATGAAGAGGGGGCATCCACAGGCCTGTATGGAGTTTGCTCAGGACATCTTTCCCCCCTAACAGTATCACAGGTGTTTACATATGTGTAAACACATCAATATGTTCACATTAAATGTGTGTATTTTTGCATGTCAATTAATCAATAAAGTTTTTCATTTCTTTAAACAATGCTTTCTTTTATCTTTTTTCCCCAGCTTTATTGATTTGCATGCAACATTTGCATGCACCATTTGGCAAGTGTTAAGTGTACAACAATCAAACATTAAAAAGAATATAAAGAGGCAAGCATAGCCTGAGAGAATATATCTGCAGTAGGTATCTATTAAAAGACTTATGTTCAGTATATGAATAAAACTGTTGCAATTTAATACTAAAAAATAGCCACTGAAATATGCAAAAATCCCAGACATGTAAAAAATAAAAGAAAAAACTGTAACAATAAAGATAAACAAAAATTTGGAAGACCAGAAATTTGTTCAGAGGTGTTTTGTGTCCAAATTCATAGCCTTTTTCACTATACCGTTCTTAACAAAATTATCCGGTCCCAAAGTTGGGCAATGCAAATAATCACCGTAATAAAACATTTATTAACAATATGTTATACCCAGGTGTCCAAAAGACTCAAGTACTGAATATAAGTTCAGGCCCCATGGTTTTTGTGTTCATGTGTCTTTAATAAAACGGGCTTTTCTGAAACTAGACTCCTAATTGTTCCAAAGGAATAGGTGGGGTGCTTCTAGAGCTTCCAGGCTCACTGGCCACTCGGAGTCCAGAAGTAGATGCCACTTTCAATGAACTCATGGTTCTGATGCCATTTTAGTGAGGTTTGGGGTTCAGTGAGTAGGGTCATTAGGTATCGCTAAGAAAAGTTTCACCAGAGCTCCCTATTCAGTGACACAGGGTGAGTTTCCCCACAAGGCAGAGATGTTTAATTATAACCAAAAGGGCAGGTTTATTACAACTAAAAAATTAAAACAGGAAAGCAAAGGACATTTGCACAGACACAGGTGGGCAGAAAGAGCTGCCCTGAAATTGACAGGTTTGTTAAAACAGATGCCTGCATGGTCACAGGCAGGCAGGAGAGCTGCCTCTTGGCAGTGTAGACATTGCTCTGATAGTCTTCTTTTTTGGAGGGGTTCACTCACTTGTGGAATTATCATCTATTGTTAAATTAATTACTCCTAGGGTGTGACTAGGTTGATATGTAAGGACCCTTGATTCTCTACAATAACCCTCCATCTTCATGTCCTCACCTCTGGTCTGCTCAGCTGGTCTGTGCCGCTGGGCACATGCTATAGCTGTTGGTACTTTTTTTTAACATTGGGGCCTACGGATTTTTCATTTCTATAGCTGGCTTAACGACTATGTTGATCTTTTTAAGCCCCACCTCTAGCTTCCGGTCTTGTGATGCCTCAATTTTCTACTCTTAGCCTCCATCAGCTGGACAAGTCTGTCTCCTTCCCTCCATCCTGCAGCTCTCTGTCCTCAGTGTATGGCACCAAATCTCAGTGAGTAGAGAAACTAATAAAGTTACGTATATTTTCTTCTCAAACTAAAGATGGGCAGGAGAGAGTCTTAATTCTGTGTTATTTGTTTTTATGAGCGATGTTGAAATTTATCTTATAAGCACTTAAATAGCAGCCCACCAGGCAAAGGACAGCCTCAGTATATTTTATTTTTTTTAAGATTTATTTATTTATAAAAGAACTGGGGTACAGACCAGAGGTGCGAGAGGGTGAGAGAATTCACCAGAGACAGAGCTTGGAGCAGAACAGGCAGACCAACCGAAGACACTGCTGAAGGAAGCAGCAGGCGAGGCAGGAGAGTCTGTATTTTTTAAAGCAAGAGCTGGTATGATGTGATTTAAGCCTGTGGGGGGTTAGCCTGTGGCTTTCTTGAGCTGAGGAAGAGCTGTCTGTCTTATTGTAATAGGGTGGTCCCCAGGAATAGGGGAGGTTCCAGGATCCCTGACCCACCCAAAGGAGGGAAGAGCTGAGTAGGGAGGAGAAGAAGCTGGAAAGGAGACTGTGGAAGGAAGGAAGCAGGAGGGAGAGCCAGAAGGAGGTCTGGAGGAGGCACATGGAGCAGAGAAAAGTGTGAGGAAGCTATGTCTTTTGTTCCTGGACAGGTTGAAACAGATGTGGGTGAGAGACCCGTGAGGAGGTTAACAATATCTTGATTTTGCTCCTTTGGTTCCAGACATGCTGGGCCCCTGTACCTCTTTCTTATGAATCCCCAAGAGGAGGTAACTTGGAAATGTGGCTGGCTTTTGAGACTCAGAGGCCCTGCTTTGGGCCAATCCTGTTTGGCTGGGCATTTACTCACAAGGGGATGGGTAACTTTGGGTGCATGACTTGGAAACTTTATTCTTATCTTTTCTTTGTTGCACACTAATTGTAGTAAAGTTCCTTTCCATTAAAGGTCTTATGCACTAGAGTATATTTTGTCTTGATACGGAGGATGGCAGAACCTGTTTAGAGTGGGCAGGTTTGGGGGTTCTGCCTGCCCTTTAACATAATGACCCTTCTGTCATCAGTTTCTTCTTCTAGGAGGGTTCTATAGGAGTAAGACTGGAGATAACTGGTTGGTAATCATGTTGGGGGAATGATGTCTTGAACAAACTCCACAAACACATCCCAGAACAAAGAATCCAAGACACCAAGGACTACAAACCCCATAATGTCATCACCACCAAAGGGAGGCTTGCTGGGAACGGAGGGTGGAGTTAAGCAGCCAGGCTTGGTATATAACCAGACATGTGGGCCTTGGGGTCCCTTGGTTTTTTGCCAACTTTCAGTACGCTATTGGGGTTTCAGCTCAGCGGAACTGGTAGGACACATTCACCAATTTATCTCTCTTTCTCCCTGAATTACTCATTTCTTCAGTTCCTCTTTTTGTAAATAAACCCTTTGTTAACATTTTTGTGTGTGCCTGTGGTTGAGTCTCATTATAAGTCCCTTTTAAGTGCGTGGGTGAGGACCCACAGTCAGGCAACCCCATTTCACATTGGGGTTGCCTTGTAGCAATCAGGGATCCTCTGCTGCCTTTTGCAGACTATTAGGGAAGATCTTTGTAAACAACTGGGTAGAATGGGAGTCCTCTGTTCTGCATTTGTGTCACATGACCGGGGGTGGAAAAAGAATCTCAAAACTTAACCTGCTTCAAAACCCCAGATTAAACTGAACCTTTTCTTGACAGCCCACTGAGAGGCTGTTACTGCAAGGACATGTGTTGACACTTTATTATTTTTGGTGGGATCCTGTTATTTTGCTTCTGAAGTGTAAAGGTTTCATTTACAACATGTCTCCTCACAAAGACCACATTATTTTAAGATTCCATTTAATGAAATGTTCCCAAAAGGCAAATCCACAGAGATAGAAAGTGGATTAGTGTGTTCAAGAGGCTGAGGGAGGGAAAATAGGCGTGATGTCACTGGAGAGGGTCTTTTTGGGCGGATGATAAACAACATCTTGGATTCCATGGTGCTGATGGCTGCAGAACATAGCAAATATATGACGAACACCAAATTGTACACTTTTAAATGGTGCGTTTTATGACATGTTGTTAGTGGGCAGATGAGGGGTACCTTGGGACCTCCAAATCTGCCACTCTAAATGGGTTCTGTCATCCTCCACATCAAGACAAAACATACTCTTAATGCATAAGCTCTTTAATAGAAAAGAACCTTTTTTTTTTAAAAAGATTTATTTATTTATTTATACAAGCACTGGGTACAGTCAGAAGTACTGTAGAGAATTCACCAGAGCCAGAGCGGAGAGTAGAACAGGCAGTGACGAAGTACACTGCTGAGGGGAGCAGCGGGCGCGGCAGGAGAGGTCTGTGCGCCATGTGGGACCCTCACCCAGCGGCCGGAGATCGAACTGGCGCTGCAGAGGCTACGGGCAGCTTCACAACCCAGCACTCAACCGCTGCGCCACCGGGGAGGCCCTAAAAAAGAACTTTAATGCAATTAGTATGCAATAGAGAGAACAGAATACAAAGAATATAGTTAAAATAATGTTTCCATGAAGCACCCAAA